TTGGTTGTGCCTCTCTCTCTCTCTCTCTCTCTCTCTCTCAATGTGGCCATTACACTTCAGGGGTGTATGGATCGACGCACGACATTGCTGACGCAGTTGTTGTTCGTATTCCACTTTGATGTATGTGGGAAAAAAAAGGGTCATGGTTCCAAAACCAAAATACGAGGATATGTGCAGGTCTTTGAAGGCCGTGGGAAAGAAGGACAAGGGGAGGAAGAAATGCAAGGCTGATAAGGGGAAAAAAAAAAAAAGAGCATCGCAGAAACGGATCCCAGAATGAAAAAACAGAGTGGATCAGCAACCTCAGAAACGGATCAAAAGTTTCTCTCCCATCAAGTCAAGGGGAAATTTCAAAGTTGAAAGAACGCAATGAATCACCCCCTGCGACTCCTGCCCCACGGAACCGTGCGAGTGGCGTCGAGAACCATCCAACCAAGACCCCCGAGAAGAGGTCGCGGGAAGACGGAATGTCAAAGGTGCACCGCAGGACAAAGAAGAGAATCACGTACAAAAAGGACAGAATGGTGGAGATGATCGATCTGAGAGCCTCGGACGCTATGGACAGCGCGGCCCGAGAGGAAGCAGAAGAGGAACACGACCAGTCCATATCAGAAAAGTCTAACGGGGAGGAGAACGAGGCAACAAGTGACGAGGGAGGTGACTGTGAAACTTCCGACGGACGTTCTCGCGACACTCACAACGCTGATGACGAGGACGGAAGGAGCAGTGACGGCACAGCGCAGGACGAGGGCGGTGACGGGGCAGGCGAAGACGACAGAAGCGCAGACGGAAGAGAGAGTTCCCCATCTCCGAGAAGAACGCGGCGCATGAAGGAACCCGAAAGTGGTGGCGAGGGAGGCGCAACCGGCGCGCCCCCTCCATTGACAGACAACTAGTGAGGCACGACAACGCAGTTCAAAAAGGTAAACAAAATGCGCTGCAATTGTTCCTCTTGCATAACGATTACGTGGTAACGACGGAAAGTGATGACATTTCCTTAATGCGAGGATGTCACTGTGATGAACGAACAGTTAAAACGGGTTGTCGAATTTCGCAGGTGCGAAAATGGGTGCGAAATGCCGAGTTCTTAATATTATTCTGTGCGTTGTAATGTGTGTCTTCCAGCAGATGGTACGAACTCGCAAAGAAAAGTGTGCAGGAGCAGGGGAGGACAACAACAAGCCAATGAAGAAAGCGACGTATTCTCGAAGAAAATGAAGGACATACTGTTCCGGTCGGTCGCAAAAGCCTTTGCGTTCTGAACAGCAAAGGACGCAACTCTGTACCCAACAGAGGATGAATTTTTCAGGGTGCTGCAAACAACGACCAAACTGATAGATGAGTACGCGGAGGAAGGACTGCGATCACACGTAGCGGAGTGCAGGATTCGAGCAGTCATAGGGGAGTGCAACAGAATGATGACAACCGTGCGTGGAGAGATAACAAAGCAACTGAAACATTGGTTCTGGGCTGAAAAAGAGACCCTTTTACGATCGCAGCAAACAGATCACCAGCTCCATACTCGCAACAAGATGCCAGCAGTGATGAAGGAGAACAAAACGTGGAGACAGAGCGGCAACGATCCTTGGGGCGCCCCAACCTTCAAGATGACACTCACCAAGGTTTTCCAGATGAGGGTGGACGGAGTTAACCTTGGCGTGACCCTGTAGCAACTGGCTTTTGCAGAGATGGTTCTGCTGTCGAGCGCATCAGCCCCCGCGCGAGTGAGGGCTCTCCCGGCCATGTCACGCAGGAGTTTAAGCAAAACATAACTTAAGAGACAACTCAGGAAACGACGCATAACTTTCCGCGAGCCGTCGAAACGGGTGAGGTCGCGTCGTCCCCTCGTCGCTCTGGCCGGGTGCGCCAGCTATACATCCCGCGGTCCCCTACGAAAGGATAGGTTCCCGTGGGGCATAAGCTTGCTTCCCTGAGGGGCTGTCACCACCCTTAGGGGCGTATCCCTACCAAGCTACCGACCCACATGCGAAAGCTTTTAAATGCAGTCGCAGAGGTAGGTGAGCCGAGGGCGTTTGCTCGTTCGCTGTAGTATAGATACGCTTGGTTAACGCCGAGAGGACCCGAACGTCGTCCGTTCCTAGGGCGCTGATCTCCTAAGTACGAAACGTACGTCGGTCGATTAGGACGGTCTCAACCAAGCGTGAAACCCAAATAGTTATCCTAGTCCCTTATACATATAGCCAAAGAGAATTATAACATTCACAGACAATTACATCAAAAGAAGTCGACCGTAGTCGATAGGAATATATATCCCATCGAAAATGATAACTGAAAGAAACAATTCATCATTCAATAACACAAGATCATAATAAAATCCGACCACCGTGGGTCGCACAACATAAAAAAATCAAACAACCGCCAACAACGAGTTGACTACAGATAATAACCTCATTGCAACCGACAAGGTAGTCGGTCGCCTTAGTCTTGACTTGATGAGACTTGCCGCCAAAGTTATTCATTTTGACCTACCGCCGACCTAAGACTAGGCACACATTCTCATCTTTACTCATTCTCAATTTTCTTCGATGACGAATGATTCTTGATCAGGGGCATTGCTTGAAGTGTTAGATGTCTCTCCCTCTAGGAAGTGGTCTGGGGTACTCCTCCTCCTCGCCCGCGCACAAGTCTCGGATCTGAGAAGTTGGGCCGTCTCCACCGAACCGGCAAAGTACCCCCCCGTAGAAACGGTCCACTCTGGGTCGATAACAGGGCCG